TCAAACCCTCAAAATCTGGATCATTTGAAAAACCAGAGAATATTCTTCAGTGTCAAATCATGTCAAGCAGACATGTGAGGATTTGAAATTCACAAAGGTTCAATTCTTTTGCGTCCAAGAGTTTGTGGGTGTTTCTCGGGCTGCTAAGTTGCACCTGTGAGGAGCATCAACCTACAATCTAGCAGGTCATGAAAACGATACGAATAAGTCGACCTCAGGACAGCTATGTAGTCATTTCTGACTACAGGCCGTGCTTTAGTACTTCAGAACCACATAACTAGGCAAAAACATGATGTAACTATTAATTCAGAAACGTTTAAAAGACGTACACGAAATTTTGTCCGCTGCGATTCTAACAAAATAAACCAAAACACCCAGAATTTTGGCACCAAATCTCGCTGCTTCAACATAGTCCATTGTCGGACAGAGAAGAAACTTTTGATCTTAGACGGTTTTCAGCAACCTTATGAGTAGCATATTACATGTAGACAACACCCTGTCCTCTTGAGATTCACAGTTATGTTTTACGTGACGTAGCAAACCAAGGTGTGAACTGAACTACGCCGCACTCATTGCCCATTTATGTCCCTGGATTCTGTGCTTCCTGGAAAATTACAGATAGCGAAATTTGTCAAAATTTTTTCTTCCTCTTGAGATTCACAGTTATGTTTTACGTGACGTAGCAAACCAAGGTGATGATTGAACTACGCCGCACTCATTGCCCATTTATGTCCCTGGATTCTGTGCTTCCTGGAAAATTACAGATAGCGAAATTTGTCAAATGGTAATTTTTTCTTTTGCCTCCAAATCTTGCGGGTCAAAATAAAGTAAATGGTGTTGTGAAAATGAGCTGGGTGTATAATTTTGTCGTGGAATGGTGCTGCAGATGCGAAACCAGCCTCCGCAGTGTTAAAAAAGCTAAACTCTTCTAAATTTGCCCATTCACTCGAGAGCAGTAATAGACAGGTGTGTTTGTCTGCCGGTACTTGAGGCAGGACAGAATAAACTCTTTTGTTTAGAACATCAATAAGGAAAGTAGGGAGACCAACACATCAAACCATGCAAAACGCACCAGCTAACAGCAGTATGAGCAAATAAACAGGAATCCATTCCGCAGATTCCAGGCATACCAAACCGCAACCACTAAAGCATGTTCTCATAATACCATGCGTATCACATGACGAATCATCCTAGTTTTTCCAGAGAACTCTCCTGGAAATATGCCATGTATTGAACACAGTAACTTAAGGATGAACAAAGCCTCGTTTCCCACAAAACATTCTCAGATAGGACCAGCATGCTCCCACAGAACAACCCAGGTAAGATTCAACATCTTCAGTGTGGATTCAAAAATAAAGAATGGGAAGAGGAATAGACTGTTCGCCAGATAAACTCCAGCAGCGGCACCCTTGTCGAGCAGTAAATCTTGCATGCAGATTAAACCACAATAATCCAGTTACCGATCGGAGACATCAAACAAAGTACTTTTAGTGATCTGGGTACACTGTTTGCTTGGCGGCACAGATCCCCGTTGGAAAGCACACACATACAGAGTGGATTTTCCTTCAGAAAGCTAAACGTTGTAGATATCGAATTTAATAAGGCTTGAAAAGTCAGTCAATGAAAGCTGGGAGTCCCAAGTACACACATTTGTGGGCATAGTAGAAAGCAAGACAAGGTAACGATCACCGGAAGAATAAATATATCCCCGGAGCACGGAGATAGCAACCTGTTTCTTGTATCAGCTGAAACCAAGCGTACATTTCACGTGATCCACTGCGGGTATTACCCACGAAGGTAACGCAATAGTAATGGAACACGGAAAGACAAATCGATACTTCATTCATTTTTATAATATCATTAATGAGAACAAGTTAAAGTACTGATCACGCTACGCGTTAAATATCCTAAATAAGCGGTGATGGATCATTAAAGTGAGTGCATGCTGCGTCGACCAAGAAGGAGTGTTTGCATACTCCTGCTCTTCTATCAACTGCTGGCTGCCAATAACAGCTTGGCGCCACTGTCGAAATGCGGCTCGAGACAACCTGCCTTCGTGCATACGACCACGTGATCAAGCAAGTAAGGAATGCGTAGGTCAGTGTAAAACCCTACGATGATGTCGATTGAGCCAAGTTACCAAAGCAGGAACTTGATACAATTCATCTGGTTCATTTATGCCCATACGCAGACAGGCGCAACGCCGCGCCATCATGCATAGTAAGGTGCACACATGTATGGGCCAGGGAAGCAAGTACTCCCTGAAACGCGAAGCCGAATGTTGCCACTACTGGACAGCTTCGTGTGAAGCTCGCTTTGATAAAACTGGTCCAGTCACTCGGCATCGAACCGTATATTATGAGTACGAGCAGCTCGATGAGGCGATGAAGTTCGCTGCCAGGTTTGTTTCACAAACACTCAGACTCTTCCGAGAAAGCCCGAAGTTCTTCCTTGTTGGATTCAAGTTAATCAGGCCACTCTAAATGTAAATAACGGATAGCAACCAAGCTGAGCAGCATAGTTCACTCATGTTTGGCTAAAATCCCATTGTTAGAATGGACAACCGCCATGGAAAAGTGGTAGTGGTTTAGAAATGACCACCACAAGACCGGAAGAAGCCTCATCTGTAAACTCACCAAATACCATATTTATTTCACCCAGTTTTGTGTCTATGATTCCAGAGTCATTTTTTGTACAATCAACATGATTTCGTCCCCACGAATTCAGAAATGTAAACTCTCTATCTGTGAGTGACATTATGACAAAAAACCTGGTTCCATAAAAATAACCAAGAAAAGTTGCTTCAAGTCACAGTGACACTTTCCGCGTCGATCGAACGAGTGACCTGAATGAAACATATCGCTGGATCCAAGTGAAGCATACGGAAAACTGGTGACCAGCCAACATCGTGATAATGTGCGAAAATACCGTTCCGAAAATAAGAACTTAAGGTAGCTTTCCAACTGTCTATCAAGACGCGTATACGTCTATCATCGAATTCTCACATGAGGAACAGTGACTTTAATGCAGGTACACTAAGCAGGAGTGCAAGAAGATGCTTGCGACAGCATAATGCTTCGTTTCCTATTCATCCCACTTTAACAGGAAAAAACACGCCAAAGAAACATGCTGCCCTTCTTGCATAATCATGGTAGGAGTTTTCCGTTGCCCACAAAATGAGGCTTCCGTCCTGTACTTAACTTCAGTTTGTCAGAATCATAGTGACAGGTGAGATAGTTGAAAAGTGTCTATGACGAGTTGCATGCTGTTATTCTCAAAAGACAGTCCTTTGTACGGTAAAACCGTTCTATTAGGGTAATGGTCTTTATAGATGAAGTGTAATCTGTATCATTGGAAACAAACTAGAGACTGGGAAGAAGTCCCTCATCTGGAGAGAGCCCACAACTCATAAATTTGTCAAACACATGCACCAAAAGGGGATCACAGCTGAACGATTTAGCTCAATTTACCCTGAGCCGACCATTAAGATCGCTAGTCACCAGCCTGATGCATGAAAATTCACTTTGTGGCAGCTTCAGTTGAGGAAGTATCGTAGCGCTGCTCCATAGCCACCAACTACGATTAGACCAAAAACGACACTGGGAAGTTTGTGAAAAAGAAACTGTCTGCGTAAGCAATCCCTCTGAAAATACAGGTAGGTTAGTGCACCAAAAGCCAACCAAAGAGTTACTCATGAGGTCTTGCAAAAAAGTGTACAGCTATCATAAATCAACCAACGATATCGACAGCAAAAGTAGCCACGCCACAGATTAGTACCTTGGACGATGACGCCTCGTGAACAGGGAAAAAGGGACAACACTGATATCCTCGGGCTTCTGATACACGTCACAAAAAAAACCATTGACTTGCGAGAGATCAGAACACCTGTGACGAAACACCCGGAGTTAGTCGAACAGTCTGCTATAGATGCCACCAAATTCCCACCAACCTGACTGTTCGTCATACGTGAAAGCATGGACCTGCGACGGCGTGTGTTTTCACTTGAGGTGCATGAATCACGCCCTGAGATAAAGTGCCGATGGTCACGGAAAGCAGGAGCTCCAACAGATAGAGGCTTAAGATAGGATAGTGGTAATTCCGGATTGGGATAAGAAAATGACTTTTTATGGCGACGAGATGATGGCTTGCGTGAAACGGATGTGCGACATGAAGTGCTTTCATCCTTGAAGGAAACCCAACGCACTATTTCAATGACGAATGGTTTATGAAGAGAGCTAGTCACCTGGGGAGAACTGCCTTTCCTTCTGTCTGACATTGCGGTGTTCATAAAGCGTCCCTCGTGACCCATTAAAGTCTGCGGTTCGGCTGAAGAGTGAGTTGAGTAGGCGGTCTCAGTGGCTCTCGGCGTTAGCGTAGCAGAACCAGAGCTGACTGGGCGAGTGACATTGAGTAGCTGACCGCTCTTAAGCAGTCGAGCCCAAAGGCGCACGTTGATGTTTAATTCACAGGAACGTGGAATATCGCGGCCTATTAAACAAAAGAAAGCAGAAAAGAACGAGAAAGCTCAAGGCTTGATAAACCATTGGTTAGTTTCATTACGTAGTTAGCAGTGCTGGTAAATGTAAGTTGCAGAAACGATCGGATCATGTATATGTAACAAGGATACCGTTCTAAATCCATAGTCCTGTGGTGCGATCACCGACTGAAAGATTGTTTCCCAAATAGTGAACTGCTCCAGATGTCCCTGTTACACATTAACGGTTTTCATCGAAATTCGAAAAACTGGTCAAAATATTCTTGATAAACCATTGGTTAGTTTCGTTACGTAGTTAGCAGTGCTGGTAAATGTAAGTTGCAGAAACGATCGGATCATGTATATGTAACAAGGATACCGTTCTAAATCCATAGTCCTGTGGTGCGATCACCGACTGAAAGATTGTTTCCCAAATAGTGAACTGCTCCAGATGTCCCTGTTACACATTAACGGTTTTCATCGAAATTCGAAAAACTGGTCAAAATATTGGTAAGACGAATACATTTATGGGTTGCCGATCTTCCTCAGTTGATGACGCCGTTTCTTACCTCACCGGATTTACTGGTTCCGTGTTACGTCCCGTGGTCTCTGTGAGGACCACTAGTGTCTCAGTCAGGTCACTGAGAAATGTCTTTCAGGTCAAAATATTGGTAAGACGAATACATTTATGGGTTGCCGTCAAACATGCATTTTGACGCTAACGACAGTTTCGTTAGATAATTTCACCGTGTTTTGACTCAATTTCTCTCCACATGCAATGCTGATGTTTACTCGTTGGAACGATCGAGTATCAAAATTCTGTGATTCTATCACCGACCTGTTCTCTGTCAATCCTGACTCGTTCCGTGCTGTTACTACTGGGTTAACTCACTCCAGTTGGATCGTTTGCACCACGTTACGAACTGCGCGCCTTCCTGGGAATTCACGCCCAAATAGCATCCTCAAAACAAACTGAATCCCTGACACAGAAACATCTGGCTTTCCAATCGTTGGTTAATAAGCAGCATATCCGTTGCATCAGGTGTGAAATAAAATCCCGTTAAAACAAGGTCGCTGACCTGGGGAAAAGAATGAATGTCTCCAAAAAGTCGCCCTTGGGATATTTCGGTTATTGAGGTAAAAACACCTAGTTAAAACAAATTAACAAAACTGCATACCCAAAAATGCTCTTCGATATGCTACAAAGTAAAAAACAGCTAGTAATTGAGAGTGAACTAGTGAGGATCAATGAAGCTGATTTTGTGCTATCAGGTGTAAACAAATTTTAGATTTTGTTGCCGTTTCGATGGCTTTCATCCGCTATGCATTATCAGTGTCATTGATAGCAAGGCTAGGGCTGAACACCAGAGCCTATACGGCAAGCAGCTAGTAACTAGTCTGCATCAAAACTGGCTTGAAGTTGATTAGTTTCGATCACGTTCTATCGGGTTGAACAGTGCTGAAGAACCACAGGGTAACCTATTCAGTCTGCATTGTTTAGGTCTTGGGCAATACGTGGGTGCACTGAACTGAACCGGATAATCCCACACATAGGACGAAGGTGGATTCCAGAGCATTCTTGAATGGCCGACATGTATGATTGGTGCTCCTGATTTAGCATACTTGTTATTGTCTAACGAGTCATGACTAATTGCTGAAATGTCTGCCACAAGATACGGGCCGTAACCTTTGCAACGTGCCGTCAAAATCTACTTGACTCACCGCAGAAACGAGATAAAATGATTTTAAACGAAGGAATTTGTTTCTTCCAACCCTCTGTATCGGTTTTCCAAGAGTGTATTCTATTCTGGTACTCTGTACATCGTACAGATGTGTAAAGGATATCTCCGGTTTGCTGTTTTATTCTTTCACAGCCTTACTATTGGATCTTGCATCAGCCGTTTGATGTACGTCCGATTTTATGGTGGGCTGCGTAATGTTGGTAGTTTTAAGTTCTGTTCCGCCTAAATTAGCTTCGCAGCCATTTATGGGCTCTGATGGCCCCTTGACCACATGACATGATCAGCCTCATTGAGGGGAAACAGGTAAGCCAAAGGGTACTTAGCTGAGCAATACACGCAGGAGGCGCGATCCTGCAGTCTAATTCCCAGTAAACTAATAACCCCAAAATGCGCCTCTGATTTGAGTTTGGACCTGCAACACAACACCCTCCTAATAATGACAATGAAGATCGGGACAGCTCGCGCACCGACTACCGGCCAAAAGGTTGGTTTGGGATCAACCTTGGTTTTTTGAGTGCTCTGTACTGACTAAGCCTTTCGTGAGGCCTTCAGATGCTTTGGCAACCACGAATCGGAATACCACAGTGTGGTGAACTGCTGTATGAACCCTGGTCGCATTACCTTGGTCACATTTACAAAAAATGCAGCTCTGATGGGATGACACTAGCAAAAGTCCGTCGTTATTGTAAACACCCGTAGAGATGCCATCCACCACCTGATTGGAGCCTTATGTGGTTCTTACTCCAAGCTCCGAGTTGGGATGTCGGGCACGCATCTGCAGGAATTGAAAATACATACTATACGAATGCTTCGTTAATACGATTTTAAAGGCTCACGGTACAACATTCTGACTGGAATGAATTAACTCGGGCCACCAATTCTTAACCTCTAACTTGCTCTCCTCCATACCTTCATCACCACAACTAACCAAAACTTTCCGGCGACCTATTTTGCAACGCTTCTGTTCTAAGGATGGAGTTCGCCTATAATATATTTCACAGCTTTCGAAGGAAACATTTGTACTCCAGAATCTCTTGTGTTTTGCATTCAACTCAACCCACCGAAATATCTCTGCTGTATTTACCAAGCACGAAGTGACAATAGTGTATTCTCTCTTTCATATTTGTTAAACACTAACTGCAAACAGTTTAACTTCAGATGGAAAGTATGTATTCTCGGCGACATCACCGTTCAAGTTGTTTTCTTAGTAATCTTTCCCATTCCCCTACAGCCCATGGTGTATGCCTTCAGTACACTTTCCCGTCGAACGGTTGTATTCCAGAAGGTTCTGTGGTTTCTACTGAAATAATCAAGAGCAGCCCTCCTAATTCCAGATTCCCTCTCACAATTCATTCATCTGGAAGTTACAAATCTCTTCTCTCCTTGGGGTGCTGGTTCACCGGTCATATGTTTGTTCTCCCACCTGGAACACTTGGCAGCCTGACGGGGACTGACGGGTATGTGGACCGTCTTACCAAACTTCTCATGTACGAGCTACACAATTTAGTTCACTGGATATGAAGCTACCTACATATCTTGAAATACTAATGAGTGGCGCTGCCTCTGTGATGCAGTTGCTCGTGAATCTTTGTTTTCCATCGCACGCTACTCCTCCTATACACAAATGTTTCGTTTCTCCTTCTATCGACATCTTTGGACTATGCATTATTTGTGGTCGAATCGTTTCTAACGATCCGTACTAGTTCCCTCGTGTGATGATGGTAAAAGACATCACGGCTCTGAACACAGAACTTACCAGCATCCTTGATAAGCCTTAAACCGATGAAATAACATTCATAGGCTGTATCGACTTCTCTATTCTGCTCCAATCCGAACTTACAGCATCCATAGAATCCACTACCATTAGACAATGCTTTTTTAGCAGTAACACTCGCAGACAGGGTAACACCTGCTCACTACACCTTTCAGAAGCATCAGAACAAACATATAAGGGGAAGATGGGAGCTAGCTGGATAACAAATGAGGTATAAATGTAGAAAACAAAGGATTCATTGTAACAACTCTGCGCCGATTCTGTCCTCCTTTCAGTCATGTACGAGACGTTTGGGTTAATGTTTTTAGTTAGACAGAGAATGAAAGACAAGTTGCCCCAATTCACAAGTTCATTGAGAATGCTCTCGTATTGTTGAAGGCTAAAATGAATCGAAAAAGCGATAACGACTAGGATTGGTGCCCAGTTGAAATTCACACCACAGAGGGATGCTAACCTTTCCGTTTGGAGAACAGACGCTGTTGTCTCCGGAGGCGGGCAACGGGTTTCGTCAGAAGAGGGTCCGTGAATTTCAGCACCAGGAAAACATTGCCTTTGGGTAACATCTCTAGGACAAGAGGCGAGGACTGACAACCAAGGAAATCCTCCAGACGGAGATATCTGCAAAGGAAAGGAAACAGAGCGATGAATGAACTATACAGATAACTGTGTTTCTATGACCAACGTGTTTACAGGAAAACAGCCTTCCACTTCATCCAGCAGACAGAGTTTATTTTGCTTCAGTTGTGAACATCGACGGTAAATCACTCCGGCGGAAAACGTCCTAAGCAGTATTGAATTCTACGAGTGAGCACTGGTGAATTGGCATGAAAGTAATCAGTCAAGGATGGAGTGAGGGAAGGGAATGCAGAACCGTGAAAAACGAATGATAGATGGGAAGGAGAATAACACATGAGAGGATACGGAAAAACGTCGAACAAAACCAACACAGAACCAACCACGTTGTTGGTGCATGTAGGCTGCTGACCCGAACAACTAATTGGGATGATAACTTAGATCTCAAACCAGTAGACCACATCCATCAACACAGTACAGTAAAGACCTCGAACTGGCTACACTTTCTATCCAGATTATTTAAACAAGGTCAAGAAGTGGAGACATATCGGAATAATTGTGCTAGGCTAGCACCAAGTCCTTCCCATCCTCCTTTATTCTTTTTGTCATCATAAAGCTTTTAAACAAATTATGGTTGTAAGTCAGCGGAGCGCCAGTGTTAAACACGGAAGTTGTGTTGTCTCTGATGACGATAAAGATGGCTCGTATGGAAGGCTATCAGCACGTGGAAGACTGCAAAATCGATGTATGAAACTCACATATTTCTTTGGAATGTTACGATGGTTTTAATGGAACCGTGACCACTACAGGCAGCCTGGATACATTAGAGACAACAAGTATTTAATTATGGTACTCAACTACCAATCAGCCGGGCTCAACAGCGAATGCAGCTAGGGTTACCATAAACCAGAGCTCAGTTTTCAGGGGTGTTTGAGGAACAGAGACGTGGCACTGGTGTTTAATACTGGCAATCCTTAGAGTGTTTCACACCACATGGCAATTTGTTTCTTACTGTTATATGGAGAAATGAATTTGAGCGGCACGACGAGGAAGGGTCCAGAAACCTGAGTCGGGAGTGGATCTTGGCATATATTCGGCCATCACTGAGGACACATTATTTGGCAAAAATGGTAGTAAAGTGGAACTAGGCATTCAACGAAACTAAAAGCAAACTAAACCTCAAGTCAAACCTCAAGTCAAATGGAGGTTCAAATCCAGTCACGGACTTCCAAACAAATGCCACTGCGTAACTGCAGTTTACGGCCAATGTGCATTTTTGGGGAATAGTATAGATTGTCGGAGTAAGTGTCTGGGTGCGTAAGCAACACAGAATGTTGAGGTTCTTCAATGTCTATTGTTTCTTATTGAATTGGTAAAATAGATTAAGCGGGTTCGTGAAATATCACCGTCAACGGTGATGTTGCTGGTCATGGCGATGACGACGAGGATAGTCATAGTCTGACCCTATAGAGCGAAGACCATTAGAAATTATGGATGCCTCGTTTGTACCGTTGTAATCGTTCAGCTGTAGCACCTTTTCGGTGCCTAACTACCATGCCACCAGAAGTAACCACGAGGGCTGGGATACTGCCAAGTTGCCTAAGCCTACACGTGGGAAGTCGAGAGGGAGATGTCGGGTTCGAAACACGGAACTTCCGGTCAGTAATTTCGCGCTCTAACCACTGAGCAGTCTCGCCTCGTTTGTACCAGGCACTAGTGACTCGGAACCTTGTGAAATGTGGGAGCCATAACAAATCCAACTGTAACCGATAGACAGGTTGTGTACAGAGACACAGAGCATTCAGTTAAAGCTAGAGACAACAATATGATCCCCAAAAGTTGAATTTGTTCCGGGGTCGTTATAACGGCCAAGTGAATAATGACATCTTGCTTATACCTTAATCGATCAGACAAGTAACCACCACTTGATTATTGACGAATATATTCATCAATCTGAAGCGGAAGTCAAGAGACCGAGCTTTCTCCAACTCTGTCGAATCCTAAGAGGCCAGTGCACCACATTTTTCTGGGGGATTTGTAGCTTGTTTGACGTTCGAACCAACCCTAGTTAATTTATCTTGGTCCCATTAAATTAACAGCGTTACTTTCTCACTCTATCTGTTCAACAGTGGCTAACCAGCACAGATAGCGTTGAAGTAACGGATCAAATGACGGTTTTTGTGCGGTAGGTGACGAAGCCTGCCTACACGGAAATAAGCAATCATTTGCAGGTTAAGTCTGTGGTAACCGGAGACTCAACTGAAATTCAAATGAACATCTCGTGTATCATAGGATTCAAGTGAATATGCTGCACAAAATCCATCCCATATTTCGGTTGCAACGAAGGTTAGGATTTTTCTTGATGCTTCTCATAAGGGAGACTCTTTCTGACAAAACATTTGGTCATAACAGACATCTAATCATTTATAAGAATGGATTCCCCACATGGCCAGAAAAATGAACAACCAGAACAGTAATTTGCATACGCCCCAGAGAAAATACGATATGTGGGCAACTAAAACCTGTACCTACTATCGCTACATGGTGGACTGTGCAATCATTTCATCATAGCTAGCAGCATCGGATCGCAGACCTCGCACAAACAAGTAAAGGGCGACCGTGTCAAAGGTCACTTCTGGGCATCAAAGCTACTCGCTGATGTCCACGTGACCAAAGTAAAAACACTAAACGGACACGTTAATATTGGTCAGGTTGAGACAAGTGAAATATCTTTCAATAGGTCTCGTCAAGCTGTACGTGCATCTTCACAAAATTGTACAAAATAGTGTTGCGTTTTCACCAAAACCTAATACGAGAACTAGGACGAAGATGAGGAAAATAACAGTCCGCATAGATTGAAGAATGTTCTACCTGACAAAAAACCCGGCTGATTCGACTGGTGGGATCTCAAGACACTTCAACTTAATTTACTGAGCACCAGGGTCTGCAGGGTAAAGAATAACTTAGTTTCTGGGTCATAATGTGTTCTACTATTCAAAAGAAGCCCTAATAATTAACAGCATGAAAATTTAAGAGACCTCAGGCTAACGTTAATCTTCATTCAACTCACGTGACAGCTCCCAATACCCAATCTAATCCAGACACATAACTGTCTGATGGACCATAAATACTTGGCCTCGTCATGGTGCCCGCCGAAGAAGACAGGGTTGCTGAACTGACGCTAACCTGTGGAGAACCGACAGGAGAGAAGACTCGCCTCCAGAACACCTGTACTTGCAACTCTTTGGCTTGATCCAAGCTAAACTCTGTCTGCACGTCCCAACACTGTTGCCCGGGTGGTCGCCAATTGGATTCCCATACTTGTTTGTTATCGATGAGGAAGCAGCACCGCACATCCGCTGCGAACGAAATAGAAGAAATTACTGCGCTGACAGTCCGGGTTTATCAGACATGCAAAGAATCAATAAGCCTGGACTATTCTCACAAACATTGGCAAATGTATACCAGCAGCTGCTGTCTATCCAACCCACCAGTCTATAAGGATCACATCTAGAACCAACAAGAGACCAGTTAAGGAATCAAATAAACCCTTGCCTCTAGGTAATGTCTTACATTGGCACAAGACACGAAGCACAGATAAGTAAATGGGCAGGTGTCCAAGATTTTGAAACGTTAGTGTATGAGCTCTAATAAGATGATACGAAGAGACACTACAGACTAAGTAAGTAGATATTGGACGGGCGGTGAGTGCGTACCACGTACGGTGCTGGAGGAAGTTTAAAGCTCGCCTCTATATGAACTGGTCTCGATACCACAGAAAGCACAGTAAATAGCTTAACTGCCGACAACGAATACACTCAAAAGTTAAAATTGACGATTTTAACTTGTGATATGTTTTTCGAGAGCACGAGCAGCTTTGTACGGAAGGTGAAAAATACTTGAATCTAAGAGCTCAGAAAAATACACAGCCTGCCAGGAAGGACAGATTCCTGAAGATCACCCCCAAAATACCCGAAACCCACTGAGACCTTCAAAATCCATTAAATGCCAATTATACAGCCTTGGATCAAGGTCACACAGTGCCGCTGTACTTTTCGCACTCACTCGCTTGTTCGCAATAAAGCTATTATGCTCCTTGTTGGCGTTTTTTTCGGCATCAGGCAGTCAGGCATAACACAGCCGATCCTAACCTCTCATGATAAACGATATCCCAAGATCTAAAGTAGCTGCCAGAGCTTTCGAAATTGTTTTCCGGACTGAGGAGTGAACCAGAGTTGGTTTTAGTTTAGTAATGAGGTGCATCGGAATGAAAAATCACATAATGAAAATCGTTCAGTTGTAACTCCTCTTCCGGTGCCTAGCTGCCATATCACCAGAATCAAGAGCGAGGGCGGAGATACTGCAAGGTTGCACAGGCCTAGACAAAAGCGGCCGAGATGCCTGTGTTAGGTTCCGACCACGGACTTTTCGGCCGGAAAGTTCACACCTTGACCACTGAGCTCAAAAAGAATAATATGAATCATGGGCCACCGTCCCTCCGCCTCTGATTAACCGTGTCATCTACCTCAGTTGCGTTAGGCTTCCTAATACATAAATCATTCCTGTTCCGATTGCGAGTTGCCAGCTATGAAATTCAATGAAAAAGGAACTGAAACTAGGATCAAGTTCCAATCTCTGGAACCCTCAAGGAGGGGTAAAATGGTATGGACCGGTGCTGACTGTTTGTGACGCGATGTACTTTCCTGCATTCTCAATTACCTCACATTTCTGAACAAATGGATCGGGAACAAATGTCTTTGCATCCCGGCAGCCGCCATCAGATGCCGTTACACAGTATCTACGTCGATGCGGTCAAGTCGGTTGCGAATGTATAAAACTCACAAGCGTGTAGGAGTCGCTAATGACCAAGCACTTCGAAATGAAAGCGAGTGATACAGGAGGGTAACCGTTTCTCCAACTTCGCCGCAACGATGAGTTTCTGATGGATTCTAGCCACTTCCTTGCTCAGGGAAATATTGACGGTAGTTTGTTCGGTGCATGGGTTTTGCTTATTAATGAGCAAATGTTTCCAAAAAGCCTTCGCGAACCAGAACTATCACATTTAGCCTACACAAAAAGGACTGCATGGCGCTGCACTTGGGACAACTACAGTCGCCTGTATTGAGTTTGCACATGAGGAAGCAGTTTCTCCATTCTGAATTTCCATGTATAAATGTTCGGCGTCAGTAGGGAACCTGAACTCACTAAAACTGTCCAAGAGATTTAAAGCGGACAAGTCGAAGAGCAAAAGCCAAATCACAGGCATTTCCTAACGGAGCGAAAAATGCATTAACTCGCCAAATGCGAAGGGAGAATCCCACGTTTATATTATATTATATATATATATATATACCACTTAGCTGAATCTGGTAAATTCGTCTCACCGTCTAACCGAATATCTGCTGGTTTAAACTCAAAACGATATAACATACATCTAAGAGATGGATACCAGTTGGAGAAAAAATAATATGAACACAGTTTTCACACCTCCTTGGGTGAGGGTTGTTGTTTTTTCTGAATGGGTCTCAATAAAATTCCTGTGATTCAAGGGGAATCAGAATATAAGGCTGACTGACGAAGAAGCGGGGGAAAATCACTTACCCCATTGGTTGTCCGATATGCGTGCAGTAAGTTCTTTCGCTGCGCCCGAATTATAAAAGGAGCCATTGCCCGTGAGATCGTTATGGACTAGTTCAAATGGGAAGGTATCCAACAGATCGTGACAACCAACACAGCGTACTTCTAGCGTGCCAGTAACTGCCGTGGGAGCACTGGGCATATGAAGAGTTCCTGAGGGTGGCGCAGGCTGTTGTGAACTCCACACGGAAGCCAACAATGTGGACAGTTCCGGATCACGACGAATCGCATCAACATCTTTGGATTTCTCTGGAGGGTTGTCCAAATGCGCAGACAATGCCAGCTGGAACAGGTACAACTTGTGCAACGACTCCCTGACATTGTGCAATGCCTGGATAATTAAAAAAGCGACATGCTTTGATAGAGAAACGAACTTGTAAAAGATGGGGTTTTGGCTTATATCTGAATTCACTGACATGGTCGATGATGAATCCAACGTGTAAATCACATCTGCGAAACATGTGACAAGGCAAAAACAATCAGACAGAGATAACACAACCGACTGAATAAGAATGCGGTGGAATTCATTACTTAACGGTTGACGGACGAGTAGCATGCATCAGAGAATAAAAACCCACCGCCAGCTTCCGTGTTTTGTCGGCATGTGTTTGGCTGTCCAGAAGTGCTTGCACGGCTTTTCGGCTTCCCTGTAACACTGCACGTTCAACACGACAACGGTGCGCCAAGTCGAACACTTTGGCTTTCCAATTTACTAGAGGATCGCGGGAATTAGCCATGGCTGGGACAGATCCGTTACTCAGCTGCCTAACATCCACGGTCTGCGAGCCCGTTCGGTTCAAAATATCACCGGACTACATAGGATGGAAAAAAATCACAGTGTAAATTGAGACAGCTGAAGAACCTTAGACAGGCCATAGCAAACAGGTACGAAAAAAGGGTTAGGATAAGGACAGAACCAAAGGACTTTCGAAGGGACAAAACAGAAGCTACTCTACAGAATAGCTATAGAGACACATGAGGTAAAAGTTGTGTTGCCTTCAGACCAGAATGAGCTGCCGATAGCATACAAGTGAGGTTGTGGAGATGACGACTCACAACGCTCATGGACCACAGAAAGCGTACCTTCATCCCAATTCAGTTCGGCTGGCCGATGACTGGAATGCGCTGGCTCCTAGCATATCAGAGATTGCAGCTACCCCTGTAGAGTACAGAGATTGTCACTCATTCATTTAGAGCTGAGCAAACTAAATAGTAATTTACAACAAAACCAGAGGCATAAAAGTTCTCTGAAGAAATTTTTGCTCAGAAGTACACGGCAACTGATCGACGTCTGGTTATGGATTATCTCTGGTTGATGACGGAACACCATTACTCACGCAAAAGAAATAACCAAGCCTAAGAGCGCAGTATAGAAATTAGCGTCAAGAGTTAGTGGTTCACAGAAAAAAGGCTACAAAGCAATGTCACTATCTTTGTCCTCATGCGTAAGGTGGCTAGGCGGCTTTCGCAAACAGATGAGCATACCGAAAGAGTAAATCAGCCTCGTAACGCTATGTATTTTCTGGACGTGTTGCGTCACAATATAATTCCTGAAAAGCTAGAATCTAAGACGAAGACGTCAACTACCAATCTAATTCCAATTTCAATCGATCATGGTTCACTTGAGGATAGCACGTGGAAGTATCATTTCACCAGCAACATTTTCACCTGGCATGAAAGAGATCAATGGAGAGCCCAATAAAAGCATTCGTAATCAGGTAGTAAACCGGGCGCCCAAATCATGAAAAGTACGCGACACCATACATGGACAGCAACAAGCGGTAAAACTAGCACCAGTAAGATACATTGCCAGATTGTGCTCGGTGAGGCAGATAGGCTAGCGCAAGCGATGACGACCTGCATGAATAGTTTACAGCAACTACATGACCGAAATCTCAGGTGTAAGTTGAAAGCAAACTTGGTGGGGCCTAGAAGACAGTCTTTCTAGGTTAGTTCGGAACTGTCAAAAGCAACGAATTTACGGCAAATCACATGAGTGGTCAATCAAACTGGCACAGGAGAAAACTATCCTACAATAAATGTACAGCTAAGTTTTGTGTGCCTCATACTTAGTCCAGCGTAGGCTGTGCGCACTTCACAGATTTCTAAAGTACAGAAGTAGTCATCGCGAGAATCAGCGTCACAACGTTCCAAACTATCGATGTCGCCATTGGGACCAAACGCTCAAAACAGAATCAGAAAGCAGGCATCATTGATTAACACACAGTTGAACGATTACACCGGATTGCAAACAGTAAAAAAAATGAAAAATGGAAAACAAGGTAACAGGACACTTTCAAACTGCGAACAGTTAGCCGAAGCAGAGAGCTGATAACTCACGGCAAACACCCACAGTCGAACTGGCCATTGAAAACCGCTTGTACTTAGCGGTCCATGGTGCTAAATAGTTCGAACGAAGTTATGAGAAAACTGGTGCTGAAGGGTGAAGCATATTGGGTTTAGATATTTATAAAAGTGTGAAGAAAAGCATGATGTACAGACGAGAACACGATTGCGTTGTCGGGACAGTGTAGAAATCGAGTAACTACTGGCTGTTCGCCGATGAGTAGTTTCACATGTCTCATCCCGAATGTCACGAAATCCACATTGGACATCATCAGCACCATTATCGACAACAGTACACCGGTTAACAATACTGTCACTCAACGGCCATACAACCATGAAAAATGCCCTAGCACACATTCGCAGGGGGAGAAGGTTGAACTTGGCGAAAACCATAGAGAACAAGGTATCTACACTAATAACAGAGGACTGAACAAATCTGAACATCATGGCGGAGTAAAAATATACCAGTGGAGTTGACCGAACACACCTTGCTAAGCCTAAACGCGTTGCTAGCCCGTTCAACTAGGAAGTGACGGCGCCTTTGATAGGGAGACCCGTTAGATACCACGCTCTATAAAGCTTCGAACGACGGGCGTGGAGAATAACATGGGTCCAAACTAGGAAGATAAGAACATCGCTCAGATGTGGTGAGTGATGACATACAATCAGTGGACAAGTGCTAGCTTACCACAATCATTCCGAGGTGCCTATACCTCCAGACATTCAACTAACAACAAGAACGACACTGACATCGGTTGGCNNNCAGTGAGGATCACGCGGTCTCCATCCTGGAAGGCGAGTAGCACCGACAGCACCCAAGCGTTTCGTGATCTCCCTCATACTCCTCTGCCAAGTCAAGGGTTGGCCACCTCTCTGTTTACACCACTCTGAATTCGGCATGGAAAACAGCACTCTCTTCGGCAAACGGTGGGATCGGCATACGAAACACATGTCCCAACCAACGCAGCTTCTGGTGCCGGACACATTCTTCAATGGAAGTACCCGTTGCACAACCAAACGCGCTTTCTAACTGCCTCATTACGGATTCGCCGACACCAGCCCACACGAGCTACGGTTCTGAGACGACTGTCGAACACCTGAGTGCGTCTCAGGTCTGCTGCCCGAATAGGCCAAGTCTCATAGCCATACAACAAAACAGCCCGTACTGTAGCTTGATACACACGTCCCTTCAGATTCAGGGATGAACCACTCTGATACCATAGGTGTCTCAAATTAGCACGCGCAGCCCGAGCCCTGCAAATTCGTGCAATAACCTCATCTGTTAAAATTAACAGAACTTCCAAGATACGTAAAACGCTCCCCAACTTCCAGTACCTCTCCCTGGATTGTAAGGGGCGTGTTCAGTGACTGCACGTCCACAAGCAGGACCTTACACTTTGTGGGTGCAAAGTGCATACCAAAGGACGGGATGACTTTGGTCA